ACGAGCCAATGAAGAGGTCAGGTTGGGTTCAGCTGGAACATCCACACACCATGCATTATTACTGGGAAGGCCCAGTGCCTGTATCAGCTCACAGCCTGACTGCTGCATGGGCAGAGCCCTCTTGGTGTGGCTCCCAAGTTGATGGCAGCTGGAGCCTATGCCCCTGGGGGTCCATTCAGCAAAGGCCAGAGAAGGATATTCTTTCAGGAAAACACTGAGCTAGGAGAAGAAGAAACATGTTGATCTTCTTCCTCCTATACTGATGCAGGACATTGGGAACTGGAGGGAAGAATAGGCCATATCTCTCAGGCAACAAACTGGTTTCAGCCATTGTGAAAAGGGAAATTAGTCAGATTGTAAAGGGAAAAGAACAGAGATTTCAATCATTATGCAGATTGCTATAGAGTATTGAGGCTGGGAACACGACCCCTTGCTGGACAAGCAGTAATGGGCATGTCCACTGCCCGCAATGGACTGCGTACTACATGGTGGTTGTGTGCAAGCACAAAAAAGACTTACAGCAGGGTCCCTGACATTCTGAGGATGCACCAACAAGAGACTAGGGTGCAAGAAGTGCTGCACATCAGATGAGCATCAACCAGGATGCTCTAGCGTGTAATAGCCCCTGCTGAATGAAATCCCAGGGATATAGGTGGCTTTTGGTGGGCATGGAATACAGGCACTTCACCTTGAACAGAAAGAGCCGAGCTTCCTTAATCACATACAGGAGGAACCAGGGATGGGGCTTAGTGTTTATCTAAATCAGAAAGGGAGCGGGCAAAAGGCTGCTGAAGAAAGGGGGCTGTCTGGATGCTGCTCAGTCAATATTTAGCTGACACGCAGGAGACACAGTAACAGATTCACACAGGAGAAGGGGGCTTGACCGCAGCTGTTGAGATAGTGTACTCAAAATAATGAGGGCAAGTGCCCAGAACATAGCACCACGGTCTTGCTACAGGCGCAATTGTGAGCACAGAGAGAGAGAAAGAGAAAGACGCCAATGGAAATCAGAAGCCAACAAAAGGGAAAACAATCTACGTCTCTAACCATGTGGAGCAAGCACCCTAGGGGGCTGCAGGCTGGACCAGGCCGGGCAGGCAGCTGGCCCTAGAGAGGGAGTCACTTCAGGCCTACACAGAGAATCCAGTTCCATATATACAGCCTCTACTGGCAGAACAGCAAAACTGACGGAGTCGTGGGGTTGCTCGTTCCTCTGTCCTCTTTCTGTCATTCGAATGCTCCAGCCCATCGCACCCATGTAGCAGGAGCCGGCCGCATGCAGCCCTGTCCGGCCGGCCCCGGAGATCAAAAGGGCTTGGAGGTCTGCTTGAAGATGAACCCTCTGTGGGCCAGTGTCTTCATGATGTTGGCAATGTTCTTGCAGTCATCTGGTATCCAGAGAAGAAAACAAAGAACAAATTTTACTTGTGGGTAAGAAAAAAGGATTTGTCTCTCGCATACACAGATGCATGTTTATAGCAATCTAAGCATAGTGGCAAAGAACATGTAGCTATGCATACAGAGTACTTCGCTGAGGACAATACATTCCTAACATGCCACAACCTATGGCCTTACCTGTAAAACCACTCAAGCCCATATGAGCATCTTGCCATTTAAAGATGAGTATTATGGTTGCTGATATCCTATCTTTTGCCCATATAGCACAACAGAAAATAAATAATTGAAAAAATTGAAAAGAATAAAACTGGCAATTACTATGATTCAACATTTATTCAATGTATGCAATGAAGCAGGATAAATTCTAACCAAATTGTACAGAGCACATTTTCACTAACAAAAGGGAAAATAGAGGAAGTATGCAAACTACTAAAAATGGCAGTTACAACTTAAAAATTTTTTTTTAAAAAATTCTTTACCACTACAATGTACATGGACAATCCTGGCCTCTCCCATTTCCTTGCTCTTTCCATCCAATCTATATTTTATTTTGGTACATGGGAG